TCCGCTGACCGTTCAGCGGACGGGGGTCAAGGGGGCAGCGCCCCCTTGCGGGGTTGTTAGGGGCAGCGCCCCAGCGAAAATTTTTATGAACACTTCATTGTATTTCACGTCGTTTCCTGCACAACTTTTGTGCATTTACAATCCCAACCGGAAAAGTCTGCGGCAATACAACACTTGTACTGCCATTAATCCTAATGCAACAATTTCATGCCGTCAAACACAACTCGATTGATAACTCAATATGATAGATCAACATATCATTGCTTCACCATACTAACGTCGGATTCCGAAGCGAATGAAAGTGATGATCTTTCAAAAGAATTACAATCCTTATGTGATTGAATGGATGAAATCAAAACAGTATATCCCATATACCATCTTTGCATCAGAATTTCTTATATCTTATATAAAAGTGATCGATCTAATTATGTAACCTATGGATGATCAATGTATCGCACAACTTCACCATACTAATGTCGGATTCCGAAGCATAATCAACATCAATCATCCAAATCGTACACAACAGATGCCAAATTTAATTAATCGTTTATTGTTAAATTCATTCTGTGTTTTAATCGAATCAAATACAGAAAGGACGGAAATTTAACAGCTATCAGATCCATGGTTTCGTAAGTGGCTCTGATACCACTGAAGGAAAATTGCGATCTAAACGCAGCGGAAAACAAAAATTTTCCTTTAGTGATCCTCACGAATGAGCATGGTCAGTGATAGAATCGTTACCTCTTTGTGGCGATTCAGATCTTTGATGCAGCGATCACAAGCGTTGATGAAGTGCAACGCCTCTACTCAGTCCACACGAACAGCTTCCGGTCACAGTGCTAGCTGCTTACGAACGGAATTATTTGAGTGAGAAAAGAGAATCAAAAACGAAATTGCATCAAGTGAAACTTCATCACAAGGGTTCCTTTTATAGACTCTCTTGTGGGCTGCGGGCTAAAACCCTAATTCACATGATCCATAATAATATTATATATTATTATAATAACTATTATTATAATAAATATATTTATTTTATTATTATTTTATAACCATTATAAAATAACAATAATTATTATTATATTATCCGAATTTCTATTTTTCACTTAAGTGCACCGTACCTTACGGTGTTCCTTTTTGATTTCTCTATCTCTCATCAAACTGTCCTTATGTGTGTGACCCTGTAGGATTTCGTAACGTTGGTAATTATATTAAATTATATATTTAACATAATAAACAGTAAGCGGTATCTAGCAACACATCACTGCCACCCAAGTCACGAAAATGTCATGTGATCTGACAAAACCTTTTTCGTGATAATATATGTTTGTACAATTACCCTTTTGCCCCTATGTCTATATTGAACACAAGGCATACACTGTGTCATCCTTGTCCAGTTCAATATTGGGCCCTTAGACATTTCTCCTGTTATGCAGGATTGGCAAATTCCATCTAGGACACTCATGTCCCTCAGCATGCTTCGTGGAGTGCCCATCAACTGTCTTTATGATCATCCAGTTACGGATAATGTTTGATCAGCAATAAAGCACCCGACTCTACATCTAGGGTCCATAGTGGTTTCAGGTCGAAGGGTGGTAATACACCATTATCACCATGAGAATAACTTATGACACTTTGCATAACATACTATGTAGTATTCTCATAGCGGGTCAATCCGGTATAAATATTACTCCTAATATTTATACCTATGTCAAGACTTGATAACTCTTTATCCATGATCCATGAGATGTGATCATCAGTCTATCTTCATAATAGTCTCAATGCTTTTAATGTTATCCCACTTTGCAATAAAGCTTGACTACGGATATTTTAAGAATAATGTCTTTATGTTTAATGGGATCTCATGATTAAGTCACACTTAACATTTCATTAAACAGACTAACTATTCTAGGGACTTTATTATTCTGAAAGACAAACATAATAAAGAAATGCCTTTTATTATTAAACGAATAATCTGATACAAGTACCAAAAAGTATTGGCCTCTAGGGCTTACACCAACAGCTCCTTCTCAGGTTACTCAAATGTTTGGAGTATACTTAGGACCTTCCAAATAATATGTTACAACTTGGGGATGTCTCCTTTTGTCAGGGTGCTTCTATTCTTCTACATAACAGAGTTTCTATCCAACACTGGCTGAGTAATATTGCTTTCTTGAATCCCTTCGTCAATCCTTACGAGGACTAGAAAGACAAATTCATTCACGTAAGAAGGCGCGATAATATGTCTCCTACTATTGCATGGGCGGGAGGGGAGCCTTTGTTCCCCTATCTTGGACCCCAAATCCTAATTAGGGTAGATTCATGGGTTCTTTCTCCTTTGGACCTTGAAGTGATTCAGGTCCTGGAGTGCCTACACCCCATAGAGTCCAGCATTTTCATCGCTCGAGACTGTGAAGACGGACACAGAGTGAAAGAGTATCTAGGTAAGGTTAAATTCTTTTTATCTTTGTTTCACCACATGGTTGTGCTCTAATGGTCTTTTACATTCATATGAGATGTGTTCGGTGCCTCTTGATGAACAAATGGAGCGCCTCGTGAAGATGCAAGTGACCCATCAGCGTGCGATGATGTCTCTTGTTCGTGATATTGCTGATACACGGGGGATGGCGCAGGGCAAAACTTCTCGGGCAGCCAAGATTCCCAAAAGGGAAGATGGTTCTTCTATGGCGTCGGTAAGTTAAGAGATAGGATCCAGTACAGAGAGATTGGAGGATGTTCTAGTTCCTTCTAAACCTTCTCTGTAGAGCATTCATGCCTTTGACATTGTGGCTTTTTTTGGTCATTTCTTTTCCTTTTCTAGAAACTTTCTAGGTGATTGTGATATGTTTTCTGCCTTGTCTCCTTACCGACTATCAAGTTTGATAGAGGCTTATTTGGTGAGATATTTCTTAGTGGAGAAAGTGTTAAGGGAGAAACACTTTGATGCCCTAGGGAGAATGCAGTTCGGGGTACTTAGCTTGAACAAATGTACCCGTGAAGGCGGGGTAGCGCTGAAGCAGATGAAGGTAAATAGGGATGATCTGAAATTACTTGCAGAGGAAATGTCCGCTCAAGCGTACATTTAGCGAGCAGAGGTGGGGGATTTAAGGAAGTTGCTAGAGGAAACTCAGAGCGCTCCCGAAAGCTCAAAAGAGCGGGTTTCCCAGCTTATGGATGATGTTTGTAGCGACCTTTGTTCATCATTATGAGGAGGAAAAAAGGTGGGCGTCCATTCTCTACCCGGCCTGGATTTGAGCCTCTGGGCCTTTTTAAGGTGATTTTGGATAAGGAGCTAGTGGAGGAAAAGTGATTTCCTCCCTCTCCCTTTTAGACTTTTGTGATTATCTTTAACAACATCCCTTTGTGGGAATTTTTATATTAATTGCTTTTAGTACCAACTGCTATGTTATTTTGCATGAATCTTAAAATCTATGTAACTACTATCGCTATGGCTTCTAAGGTGATGAGGATCCCTTCTTCGGAAGGATTCGTATTTATTTACTTATAAACGAGAAGAATCCCATTTTGGGGATCCCAACACATATAACTACCAAGCATAAATTTGACTTGTTATAGGTTTATTTTTAAGTATGAGTCTGACTTTTTCGAATGTCTGATTAGTTTGTTAGCCTACATAAATACCTATTTATTTTAGACATGTAAATATGCAATTCATATAATATTTAAATACACTAACAAACTAAAAGACCAACGAGATTAAAAGTTTGTGTACAATGAGTTATTTTAACTTACCTATTAGCATAACTTTTATGAGACTATTTGCTTAAAAGAACTTATGAAAACATCTTATGAAATTGTTTATAATGTGTTTATATCTTATTTTCATAAGTTCTTCAAGATAACAAAGTTTTATTTATGTATTTTTAATTCAAAATACAAAATATTATATAATGATAATAAAAAAAATATTTATATTTATTTAAATAAGTCGGTGTGATAGATTTAAAAGATTTTTTTATGGCATGAGGCCTAACATTTTTAATAAATAGACTTATAAAAGAAATTTTAGATCTTTTCTATTTAAAAGAAAGTCTGACCTAACCTAAAAAAATCTGACATGATCTGAATTTGTATAGATTAGACTATAGACATTGGTTAATCGATCTAACCTATTTTCACTCCCAATCACAAAATTTATGACACAATATGAAAATAGATAGACTACAATAATGTAGCAAAAGTGCTTCTCAAAAAAGATAATGAAGATAATGTGTTTGGTATTGCAGCGTCGAAAGTTGATATAAATGAATTGATTTTGTAGAATTGATTATAGTTAAAAGTATCAGAAAATTGATATAAATAAATTGATTTTGTAGAATTAATTATAGTTAAAAGTGACTTGAACATAAAATTATTTATGTTTAAATATATTTATGTAAAAATAAATTGACCAACTTTCAGTGTAAATTTAACTTTAAGTAGAAACAATTCTAAAGACGAAATCAATTCTAACAAACCTTAAAATCATTTCAAAATCAATTATACATCTATCTAGAATTTGCTTTTGGCTCTTTAAAAGCCAAACCAAACGTGCATGTCTCGTAAATATTCATCAATTATCCTAGAATCCACAATGTGGCAAACGCGTTTCTCAAATAAGATTTCTCCTATTGGAAGAAATATCTAAATTCACTGAAATAAGCGTAGACTTGTGTGCAAAGTATTATTACTAATAATATTCATAAAGATTAATAGCATATGTGAAATACTTCATATCATTGTTGATTTTCAATCTATAAAAACATAATCACAAATCATGATATCAAATCTTGAAACTTATAATAGAAACAAATTTACCCTTTGAAGATGAGTGTGAAGATCACTATATAAAGGCTTTTCTCCATCCACTCACTCCAACAAGATTTTACTAGAAATAAAATCAACAAATCGATTTACTGTTTAGTATACCCAAAATCTGATATCACCTCTTCACTATAAAAATACTTTATCCCTCTTATAAAACATGGTTCATTCACTGGTCATCATAACAAGCCAGCCTCAAAGAGATTTCTTCGTCTCAAAGTCTCGTCAACGAGCTTGAATGTCTTCTTCACAACCTTCTGATCAAGTGCAGTGGTCCTATAGATTTTGAACACACGGTCTACGCTGTCCGGAGCAGTGCTCTGAAAATATGATTCCTCAAATTTTTTCTTCACAAACCTGAAAAGAGATTGGGCGTGTTGATCAGTTGTGCTGGTTATGAAAAACTATTTACCTATGCCTAAGGCGATAATTAAGTTACTTACTCGTATGCATGCTCAATCTCTTGTTTTCCGGTTGAAACTGGCTGGTAATCTTTGAACCACTCGCATACATTAAGTGGAACCTGCACAATACAAAACATTAGACTAAAACAAGAATAGTATCCACTGCTGACAAAATGTACAATATTAGGATGATTCTTACATCAAGGATCTTCTTCTCAAATATGTCAAACTTGTTCAAAAATAACATGAAGGATGTTTTCTGTGAAAAAAGAAAGACATTGTTATCTTCTGAGACAGGCCAAAATCTTATCTGTTTATGACGAATGAAGCTCTCTACAAGTATCATATAAAGGAAACAGAAAAAGTTGACATAGGGAATATACCTCAAAACATTGTTGCTTCAGGACCCATTCAAAAAGTTCCTTTGTCTCCATCATTCTGTTCTTGTTCTCATCCTCAAAAAGTGTTTGATCGTATCTGCAAGTTAAGCAAGGTGTTAGCACTTTCTTCAGCTTTACACCTTATCTAATTAAAAGAGTCAAATGGTGCCATACTCGCTAATCGCAACACAGAATATTACAGCTGAAACTCCTTCAAACAGATGGATCCATTTCCTCCTCTCATTTCTCTGGCCACCGACATCAAACAGTCTATAGACTTCACCACTTTTCTTGTTTTCTCCAACAGGGCTGTCAAAATAACAAAGACATACCGATTAAGTTGTTGAGTTATTATTGTCTGTATGCTATACTACAATAAATAAAGGGTGAGGGGACGGTATAATGGTAGAATAACAAGATCACACCCTACTTCAAATAATAAAGGTGGCTTGAATCACAAATACATTAAGGCCAGCATGATTTGAATCACACATACATTAAGACCACAATCCATCTTAAGAGGAAGCTGTCAACAAGAAGAGATCAGAAACTAAACAAAATAGCAAATGATGATCCTTTGAAACACAACACAGGAAGAAGCAACACTGGACCATTCTATTATCGTCAAACTCAAAAGTTGCAAGTCAACTCCTAGAATCATGTATTTAAAATCGAATGTGGAGATATCTAGTTAATTTATAAAGAAACTTCTTTTGAATAGACTGCAGATTATGAGGCATAGACACCGACACGGATACCATACTCAATACTGACACTGACACGTCAACATTGGTGATGATTTGAGAAAAGTGAATGATTGAATATATTCATGTGTCGGTGTCCATGTCGTGTCGAACACTAGAGAAGCCTTCAATCTCAAGTTTCAGTGCTACATAGACTACATCAGTGTTTTGAGGGTTTACTTGCTCTCTTCTTTAGAGAAAGTGAATAAATGCAAGGAAAATAAGTAATACTAAAGGACCAAGAGAGCAAAATGGGGACAGTAATAAGCATTTCTGAGTCATTTCAGCATGGCAAATAAAGTTGATCTTCATGTTTACCTGAACTGGATCTCTACAACACCAGTAGTACGAACTCTAGCAAGCAAGACATCCTCCTGAAGTTGTGTAACAGATGGACAAGTTTAGTAGTTTCATGATATGACAATCATTTCAAATTTAATGCATAAATGACTACAAAAAGAAATTAAAAAATGTAATGAATTTTTGAGAAATGTTTAGTATTTTTGTCAGCTAAATTGGCAATTCGGCATCGGGTTACTTTTGCAGAATAATGTAAGACAACAAGGCCATTCAGAACAGACTAGCTTTCAACTAATTATTCATGAGACGAAACCACACTTGATAAAAACAAAAACAACAATTATGCTTTTTAGTCCCTTATACTCACTTTTTATCAACTACAAAATAGAATAGTCATTTGTTGTAAGTTGAGATACACGCATTCTAAATGGCACACCAACAAAAGGCAAAAAGAGAAGAGATGAAAACAAAATGATTGCGCCCTCAAATCTGAAACATTTAGAAAATAAAACATGCTACACCCAACAAGAGGAAATAAATCATATCCACAACATAAACATTAAGAGAAATCATTCTTAATAGTTTGACATATAGTTTTTCTTAGTATCCCTTGGTGTTATGACTCAATAATGGATCCCAAAAGTGGTTTGTTCAAACTCCGCTATGCTACAATGCTGTATCATCGCTATTTGACAACCCTCCGTACTAAACAGCACATCACGGGACAACATCAGATTTGTTCAAATTCTGTAACACTGTAGCTGCTATTAGACAACAGTGGACTACTTCTACCTCTAACCACCAAACTGTTCTCCATCTAACCTATCCTCCTTAGCGGAACTTATGCATGCCTTCTTTGGACATATCCAAACCACATAATTACCATTTTTTCACAATAGGTGTTGCCTTAGTTTTCCCTCTAATGCTCTTATTCCTAATTCTATCTTGTCTAATGTATACACTAATACTGCCCCTGTCCTTAAGTATATGATTCTTTTAAGTTTTTCATTTGTCCCTTTTTTATAAGCCCCCTTTCAAATTTCTAAGAAAGTGGTTGTTTACCACCTGCATTCAATTCAGCCCCATAAATTTCCACAAGTTATATAGTGCATTAAATTTTCCCTTTAGTTTGGTAGGTGTTTTTCTATCACAGTTTAAAACAAAGTATTCTTGCATTTCCTCTGCCATGCTTGAACCTAACAGTTTGCATCTCCACTTATGTGCTTGTTATTTTGTATGATGAACCTGACATACTTAAACTATGGAACTTTTTATATTAAGGGGTTTTTCAATTTCCCAAGACCAACGGTGTAACAAATGCAGACAAAATTATAGGCCGTGAATTTAGGAATATACTTTAAAATCAATATAGGAAAACAATGGCATGCTACTTATTGGATACCTTTGTTGGAACATAACTTGCATCAGACAGCCTCTGCAAATTTTCCATGAAATAATGTGTGCAGTCCGGAACTTGGAGCTCATTACCACGGACATATGTTTCCTACAGAAAGTAAAATATGTGTTTCATACTAATCATTATCTGATATCGAAAAAAAACAATGAAGGACTAAAGAGCAGAATTAAAGTAGTAAAAGCAATCAAAATATGTCATTTAGCCACCTGAATTGCAGCATCCTTCCACAGACTCTCTATTTCCTGTGCAAGTTCCTTGGTGAGACGTGGGTAATCCATCCTGCCACCAATTTCTGATAACTTTTCACCAATGTCCTATCACAGCAATACGAAAGCTTTAGAATTTAGAAGAAAATTTTGACGTAAAATTTGACAAAAAGCAAAAGAGGCAATAACAATGAATTACCTTATTTTCACTTGATATAACATACTTTGAAAAATCAACATCATTCTGTGCAAACTCCTTCGATCCATCATGAAGTAACTGTATAAACACGTCAATCACATAATAAGGATGACAGTTTACTCGGCCAGATCAATCAAAACACAATTCACAGAAAACAGTAACTACAAACAGTGGACACTACAACCACTTTATTTTTAAGAGAAAATAATCAACACACCCTTTCAAGTATTGCGTACTTTTATTGTCTGATATACATTAGCATGAACGACTGGTAGATAGCTTTTTAGCTCTGCCTCATCAAAGCCAGTTTGAAATAAAAGTTTTATCTGCATATTATAGACAAATAAAAATCAATAATCAAGTATAAATATTTATATATACATCGCTATTGCTAAGATATGGAGAAAATGCATTTTCTTGCCTGCTTAAATATTGTGGACTTCCCCGACTCTCCAGCTCCTAAAAAAACAGGTTGTTCAAAAGTTTTAAAAGTGCCCCATAAAGGTAACAAAAGTAAGCAAGTAACCAAATTAGAGACTATTGCGTAGATTATTCAATCAAATGAATATGCAATTATTCTCAACAAAATGATAGATCACTTAAAAGAAGAAGTCGTCACGACAAATAAGAAAAACCCAATATCCATTTTGATCAGTTATTTCAAATCCTAAAAATGTGAGTATACAAATAGTTTATTCAACCATAAAGATTAAAACACTTTCTGCCACAAAATCTTATTCGGAAATGGAGGCAGCAAGGATCAAACTCATCACCGCATGGTCAAAAGCTTGATTTGTCCATGACCAACTATCCCAAAAGCTTAAGACTATTAGATGAAAGCTTGTAAATGGATTTATATCTAAAATACATATTGAATTCTGAATCAAGTAATGCTCAATCAGATTTTGAATAATCTTTTTTCATAATATAGTAAAACACCTTATGCTGCAAAAATGACTGTTTTCTGATTTTCTAAATAAAGGAGACAGAAAAATCAAATGATCTATTCTATAGGGCTACTTCACAGCACTCAGTGTTTAGAAACACTTCAATTTCCAGCAGAAACTAATAAACGATAGACATTCCTTCAAAATTTAGTAAGTGATATTATTCATACATTGTAGATTTCAGAATTGATGAATTTCAGCTTTACAGTCTCTTGCTGAAACATTAAGCATATAAGACTAAGATTAAAACTAAAAGAAAACTGTCGATAAAATATACCTAGTAGTAGAAGTTTCTGAATATGCTTTTCAGCTTTTGTTTCTAACTCTATTCTTCTTTCAATTTCTGCAGTCTGCAAATGCATATAACCTTTACGAAATTAAAGTCTGTGTAACACTTTAAGAATATCAAGAACTTAAAAAGTATATATACTCAGTTGAGTATAGCCGTATAAATGACCTGTGCATTTTCTTCAGCTTTGGCATCATTGTAACGGTTACTTTTGCTACAGAGTAAGCCCATATTTTCTGTTACAAAACACAGCATAGAAGATGACTACTCAAGCTCCTGCAGAAATCACACTGTGTTTCAATGCACTTCTCTAATATATGTATACGCAATAGTCGACTTGATTTCACCTAACAAGAAAACCAACTTAGTGTCAGGAGCAAAAAGAAAAACAAAAAGAGGAGACGACGAATGCTAATTATCTTGGATGACAAAGGTTCGGTTTAGCAACGCCAATTTTCGAGCTTATAACTTCTAAACTCATATGTCCAAAATAGACCTGTTTAACAATTTTCTCGCAAACTTGGAGCTTTTATTACTGGCTTATAGTGCTTTTTTGATAAACTACTTCAAGTAGTGTTTGAGATTATAGCTTATCATTTTTCTTTCTGAATTTTACCCTTACTATCCTAATTGAAAAAATTACTAAAACTAATTAAAACACTACTAATTCAATTTGTTACCTAATCCGCTATAAGCTCTTCCACAGTAAACTATCTGCTACTTTTTATCAAAGGAAAGCAAAAATTCCCCAAAAAATTCATCAATTTATTAAGCCCTATGAAGTTGAATTAAAAGCATGCAAAGTGCAATTAGTCCATGAAAGTTAACAAACACTAATTAAAGAGAATAATACAGTCCAAAACGATACCCTAATCAAATGCAAGATTAGACAGTCACAAAAATCATGAAAAAAAAATAACACTAATCAATGAATAATCCAGCATCTCGATCTACTTAAGCAATTGCAAAATCAATCACAGAAATTAAAAAGTAGGTTTACCTGAAAAGTGTGTTGTTAGATTTGAGTGATGCAGGTAGAAAACAAGTTCAGTTATATTAATAATAATGAAAATAAAAAAGAAATTTTTATGATATGGTTTTGCTTTGCATACAGTGTGGGTAATAATGGGAACAGAGAAACATATATGGTGGTGGTGGTTGATGAGGGTGTGAAAATGAATAATGAGAAAAAGGGGGGTGCGTGGAGGAAAAAAATTGGGATAAAAGAAAAAGAGCGCCGAAAGGTGGTGATGGTAAGGGTTGTTGTTTCGTTGGGTCAAAGATTGGAAAAAGACAGGAAACACAGGTAAGCAGTGTTGTGTTAGTGACAACACTTTTTCTACTGTGTGTCTGTCTTCTCTGTTGGCGAGATACTAATAATTTTATACGGATACATAGAAAGGAATACGTATATTGTACTATTATACTATACAAATATACTAATTTTGTTTCTTTCAAGTTTGAATGACCTTGTTATATTTGAATTTGAAGTTTGAATCTGTGCACTTTACGACCAGAGTTTCTAGATGTGGATGGTTATTCAAAGTAAAAGGTCAGTGGTCTTATTTTTCTATGACTATCTTTTCTTTAACTATCCTTCAAAAACACGTTTTCTTTATTTAATGTCGAATTATTGTGCCCATTTTGACTCAACTATGGGTGTTTAGACTCTATAAATTAAAAAAGAATATGGTTAGGGATAAAGTTGTTTGAAAATCATTAGAGATACATTTGTCTATATCTATATCAATGAAAATGCATAATTAATATTAATTCATCTAATATGGTATTATTACTAAGTTTTGGTACCAGTCTCTCCCACTAAATTCTAATGTTATTTTTCTCCTTTTATAATCTTAATCTCTAAATCGCCTATCCACGACCGACGAAAGTAACAACAATTCTTTCACCCATCCCAATAACAATAATTCTGCAGTTTAATCTCAACCTCTCACTCGTCTTACGCCTACTTCTATTCATTTTGCTTTAGTTGTGTTCAATATCACAAACTTCATCAAATCACATTGAGCATTGAAAAATGATTGTATAATACATGGTCCAAATTATTCAAAATTCATGCTCGTGTCTATCAAGTGCTTTATCATATAATCTCACATCCCCCATCTGCAACACACATGACTCCCTCTCTCAGAGACAAGTGACATTGAACTATGGCTTCGCTTTGATGTGGTCGTGTTACAGTGGATATACGCCACGATTTCTAATGATCTTCTTTATATCGTCATTGAACATGACTCTACTGCATAACTTACTTGGAACAAGTTGTTGAACATATTATACGACAACAAAAAATCTAGGGCTCTTTATTCAAAGCAAGATTTTTCACGCGCTCATATGGAACAATTCTCTGATGCCTCCTATTGTTGTCATCATCTCAAATTCCTCCCCGACCAATTATCTAATGTTGGGGCTCATGTCTCTAATGAACGTTTGGTTCCTTTAATTCGCATCAGGCATAACTGATGCATATGTTACTGTATGCTCACAAATTCATCACAATGATTCTCTTCCACCCTTTTACGAAGCACGCTCCATGATCATTTTAGAAGAAACAACCAGAGTGAAAAAGGAAATCAGCACCACTGACAACACTTCCTTCATCGCCTCACACATTGATGCATCGACTCACACTCCTTCAAACAGCAACAACTGCAGAAGAGGTAATAGAAATCATGGCGGGGGAGGTAATGGTCGCAGCTATTGTGGCAGACGACAGAACAATGAACGCGGTGGTGGTAGCCCTCGGCATCCACAGTGGACTTTACCACCCTACACACATCAACAACAACAATGGACTTATCAATCATATTTCAACCAAAATCAACAATGGAATTTTCTACCGTTGCATCGGCACTGGTCCACTCCGCCATGTCTGTACCCGACAACCTAAACATGCAAAACAACATACAAATCAAGGAGAAACTTCAACCTAACCTAAACATCATATTATTAGTATACAACCATAACCTAAACAAGCAAAATAACATACAAATCAAGGTGAAACCTCACCCTAACCTAAACATCATATTATTAGCATACAATCATAATGTAAACAAGTAAAGCAACATACAAATCAAGGTGAAGCCTCAACCTAACCTAAACATCATATTATTAGCATACAAATATAAGTTAAACAAGCAAAACAACATACATATCAAGGTGAAATCTCATTACAAGAGAAGCAAATGAGTATGAGATAACAATTAATTATTGAAAAATACAAGAAAATTGAATAGACATTGCATAAACTCCTTTTAAAACAACTTGAACACCAATTCATAAAATTACCCTGCAGGACGATCTAACCCTAGTATTTCAAGAATGACACTCATAACAGGTGGTTCAAGTGTAACACCCTTTTTCTACCCCAAAATTATCAAGGCAAAATAACACATAAATCAGAGTGAATAAATAAATCTCATTAAAAAGTCACAAAAGGGCGTACATTTCTCAAAGTCAACAAAATTGGTCAATACTCCGTAACGACGGGTTTTCCTCAAAGTACATCAAACAACATAAAACAGCGGAACTCAAAGCATAAATCAAGGTTTCTCCTCAAAAGGGAACATCAGTAAAATAACCCAATGATATAAAATCAACTCAAAGAACCCAACCCGATGTTACATATCAGAGCAAGACCCTCTAAATCAACCATAAAGGCTAACGACTCTAAAACTTCAAAATACTCCTCGACGGTGTCCACGATTAAACTTGCTCATCTGCACGTTATCCACGTGGAGGTAACATTCAAACAGGCAGAGTGAGTAAAACAATTCATAATAATCAATGTATAACAATTAATGCATAAACGGCATATTACTCGTAATTATATTCAACACATTGATGTCCTTCAAATATGCCTCAAAGGCCATAACGTCATAATTCATGCAAAAGACTCATAGATGCAATGCGACACAACTCAATGCATGTGGTACCAATCATCACAGCGCGATGGACATTGGCCATCAACCCTTCATAGATCCCCATCAATAGGATCGGAGCACATCAAAATACTTCACATCCACACAGTGGGATTGAAGCCAAAGCAATCGAATGCACATGAATGCATGATGCAAACGTCACAATAATAATCCTCACAATACAGCATATGGTGCATCATCATTCATCATACTCATCATCATCACATAAAATCATCATATCTCATGTTATCACATAGTTCATCAAATCATGGTAGTTTCATCATATTAACTCAATCGATACATCATAGAAAACTATCATACATCATGTACACATCACCCAAAACCCACTGTCATACTCGGGATAATTCTCATACTATCACTTATTACTCACCCAACCTCACTGTCATACTCATAGTAACTTATCACAGGAATCTCAGAATCAAACATCACGACATCACTGCACGCGATCAATTTCGCGAACTCTGCTACGCACCAGAACTGATTTCGACCCAAAAACTCATACGATTCACATACTCGATTCCCCCACAACATTCCCAAATCATCCCTAAGGTCATACGGCGATAACGGCACAAACCCGATGGTTCATTAGGCCAAACCGACAATATTTACACTGCCTAAAACACTATTTTCCTACAATTGCTCTGAGTGCATCAGAGTTACTCACATTTGAATATTCCTATTCCTACAGGGTCAAACATATCACAATCCAAGGTTTTGGCCACGAAGGCCTAAGGTTTCCTAATTCTCATGTTTTACATCAAACAGTCAGGGATACTAACCACTAACCACAACCCTCAAGGTTTCATTATCAGTTCCCTTATTTTCCCACAATCAACCAAAATTACCTTAAATCATAAACCACATAAACCAACCATAAACACATCTAAAGGCATACATAGAAAATCATGAAATGTGATACTCTCCATACCTTAGCTGATTCAAAGCTTTCACGATTAACTCCGGCAATCTTCCGAAGCTTTTGCCTCAGCTGATCCCTCCTCAGAGCTCTGGCCTCCATTCTTTCCATGGTTAACAAAATGAATCCTCAACCTTCAGAGTTCTATTTTGTCAAACTTAAACTTGGGCCACACAATTATGCTTTTCCCATAACACCCTTACTAACTCTTCATAATGCCCAATTTACCCTTATTTCACTTATATTCATTTTAATCAATAATAATACTAATATTCTCATATAGTATACTATTAATTAAATAAATAGTCCAAAAATGCACATTTTCTCAACAATCCACAAAACCACCGAAAACCACCCAAAATACGAATATTCTCAAT